AGTGGAGAAGGCTTTATTCATCGCAGGCAGGGAGCAGAGGGGTGCCCGGCCGTCCCGGGGAGGAGGGGGTCGGGGGCACGGGCAGGGGTGTGCAGGCAGAGCCGCTGCCTGTTGCGAAACAGCCGCCACTCAGAGCGCTGGGAAAAGCGGAGGTGGTTCGACGGAGGTTCTTTGCTCCCGAAACACGTCAGCTTTTCAGCTGACAGTGGGAAAAGCAGCTCTGTGGGATTAATCCCGCCGCGCTCTGCCCCCACGCTGGCACGGGGGCCACATGTCCCCCAAAACCAGGGCCTGGTGGAGCCCAGCTTTGGCAGCTCCAATAAGGAGGAATTGAATTTCCAAGTGACCAAGTCACAGCACTTGCTGTGCAAAACGCAGCCGGAGCCGGGTCTCGCCGGGGGTGCCCAGGCTGCGGCTCCCCAGGGATGTAGGTGCCCTGGTCCCCCAGCGGGATGGGGCTGGCCCCCTCGCTGCCACCGAGCCACAAAGCCACGGGTGACCCCGTGCCGCCAGTCCCTAACCATCACCCACCGCTCGGGCACGCCAGCCGGTCCAGTGTCACGGGCTAATTCGGGAGATGCTTCGTATAATTAGAACACACACACACACAGAGTCAGGCAGCAGCAGTGGAAAAAAAAAAAATCCAAGTCAAAAAAAAAAAAAGCTAATTATTTCAGTATTATCAAAGTCAGCTGTTGCTGGTAGGACTAGAAGGGACACTAATTTAAATGAAGCATTTTCAGCTTGACAGCTTCCCTGTGAGATCAATCCTCAATTTCGGTCCTAACCACCAGAAGAATGGTTTGAAGTGCATTAAGTTGTTCACAAAGGATAATAAAATATTCCTTTGAGAAGGCTGGCTGCTTGGATAAATAAGGCGTTTGAGTTTCAAGGAACCCAAGATGAAAATGCCTTGAAAAAATTCCTTGGAAAGAGCAAATCCCAGGTTCTCCCGCTCTTTGTGAGCGCCGCAGGGGTGGGAATGACTGCACCATCCAACCATTTGCCGCAGGGCGAGGGAGCTGGGATCGCTCTGTGCTCGTCTTGCCGCTGCTATTTTTATGATGTCCCATAATAAGAGAACAAAAGGGACCATTTTATGAAATTAATAGCCAGCACAATTACAAAACTTAACGGCAAGGGAGGGATTTCTGCAGATATTATTCCTCCAGCCAGGTCCTCGCGCCCCACGCAGCTCGGCCGTGCCGGGACCATCCCCGCCCCGTGGTGCCAGGGTGAAGAGCGGGGTGCGGGCGACACCGCGCCGAAGGGAAGGGAAACTTTCTGGAAGGCCGATGAATTATTTAACGCCAGCCTTTGTTCCAGCAGCTGATGCAGAAGCAGCCCAAGGAGGATTGATTTAACCGGGTCGCCGCCGAGATGAGACGATGGGCTCGGCGTGGGCTCTGCTTTTGGCAGGACCCAGGAGCCGGAGAAGCAGCTGCACTGGGGAGGATGGGGCTCTCCGGGGAGCACGGTGCCCTGGGCACCCTCCACTGTGCTCACAGCCTCCTCCAGCGCTGCGGCACCCATCTCCCCTCCCGGCCCCTTCGCACCTTTGGGGATTTCGGCTGAGATGTAAAGCGAGCCCTACCCGCCATCCCATGCTGGCTGCAGCCGGTGCCCAGGGCGTGCGTGGGGTGGGAGCCAAGCCAGCACGGCTGGAGCACCACTGCAAACCCCTTTGCAAAGGAGGGACCACGTCCTCGGCTTGCAAAAAGCTTGGAGGGGGCTGCTGGGGGGGGCTGCTCCCAGCCTGGCGTGAGCCGGAATGACTCACCCAGCCACACAGGGCTTTGGCGAGGGCCTCCATCGCGCGGGGAGGGAGAAGACAAAGCAGCTTGCACAAACACACACACACACACACACACTTTCCCACCCTCCTCCATCCTAGCTCCGGTCTCGCTTCCTGACTACCGTGCCATGGAAATCCTTGCCCTGCTCAGCACCCTGCACCATGCCCACCGGGGCCCCAGCGAGCCCCTGCCCGTGCCCCCGCAGCGCCCTGCCCGCACACGCTCCAGCTTCGCCTCCACCTGCCGGGAATCATAGAATCAGAGGATTGTTTGGGTTGGAAAAGCCCTTTAAGATCATCAAGTCCAACCGTTCCCCTACCCCTGCCATCCCACCACTGAACCCTGGCCCCAAGCACCTCATCTATCCTTCTTTTAAATACCTCCAGGGAGGAGGACTCTACCACCTCCCTGGGCAGCCCATTCCAGAGCTTGACAACCCTTTC